GTGTTTCAGAATTTCCTCTAGAGACCTTAAGCAGTTCACAACCACAATTGGATCTTGGTCCCGCAGTAAGCTGTATAACTCATGTACCAAGGCACCGTCTATAAAGAAGAATAAAGATCTCCAATAAGGAAAAGCTTCAGAGTTACAGGGAAAGAATGAGAGAAATAGCCCCAGACAAACAAAGCTAACTTCTCTGCCACAAAAATAATAAAGGCAGTAACAAAGTGCAAGACCTTCACACAGAGTAAGGGGGAGAAAAAGATAAAAGAATTGAAATTAAAAACAAAAAAAGATTGAAAGAAGTTAAGAATCAAAAAAGTACAAAGTAAAACTTTGCTGTCTCCAGGCTGTTCTAAGTAGCTAATGCAAAGAATCTTACTTGGGCCCCAAAGAAAGGACTTCTCTAATCTCAGAAAATATCAAACTTTGCATCCTATTTAAAGAGACATTCAAAATGAAAAAAAAAAGAGAGAGAGACATTCAAAATGAAGCTACATTATTATTTTCTACCACAGCTGCTACAACTTTTTCAAAGTCAGACACATAACAAAGGCACGAACAAATACTGATCGTGGTGGATTGCACTGAACTCACCCACTTCAGAGTCTCCATGAAGATTATACATTTTGGCACAGCCAAGGACAGCCACTCTTCTGACATATGAAGCCTTGTCCCGCAGACCATTGAGAATAGGCTGTTGGATGTATTCCTGTACACCAGGCATCCTAAGCAACAGATCCTGAAGTCAGTCCAATCCTGAAATACTAGTTTGGACATAACTAAGCTCCTCTTCGTATGATAAGAGTATTTAGCAGATTTTTGAACGTACATCTATCAGATCACAAGGAATTAGCAAAAAGCCTCTATTAAACTTTAAAAACTATCATTTGCCTTTTCATGTGGAATAACACTGCACAAGCAGCAAAAATTGCTATAGTAATAACCGGTTAAAAATCTTTACCCAAAACCAAGGACTACTTTATTAAGAGTGAGAATGGAAAATTCCATTTAATACAACCATGTGAGGGAGACAATGAAAAAGGGATGTAAAAAAAGCTTAAGATGTCTTATAAACATATACCAATTCTCCATGATGAATGTAATCATTACATATTACAAACATTCAGGATTATGTCTCTAGAACTTATCTCTGGAATGTAAAAGGTGAATTTCATTGGGATGTGCAGGGGATTCAACAAATGTTGAACAAGGAGAATAACAGCGTTTATTGTACACTAAAATAAAAATTTTTACTGTAACTAAAATAAAAATTTAAAAAACAAGAAAAACCCCCAAAATCATATGGTACAGTTTACTAAGCCAAAATAATGGCGGAAAATCTGAGTTCAGGGTACAGAAATGTTTTCCTTAATATTAAGGAGCTCAAAAAAATTGTCATCACTAGAAACCTGACCATCACTAGAACCCTTCATCAACCACTGAAGATCAGGTAGGGCAGAATACTCACCTGAGGCTACACATGCTCCGAAGTGCCAACCCTCGCACCATTGGGTTAGGGTCTGAGCAGTCTTTACAGAGTGTATTGATGGCCAGGAGAGCTAGGTCTGGCTTCAGAGGTGCATACGTGCACATGTACAGATAAACCAACTTCTTCTGAACAATATCTACTGTGGCACTGGCTTTCACTATTTCCATGAAAACACCAGACATGTCCAAGCCCTGAGTCATGTGCCTGAAACCAAAACACATTGCAGGTAAAATACAAAGTCTTCAACCTACAGCGGAAGGACTTTTTCTTACACATGCTCTAGTTATCTAACTAGATTGTGATCTCTCAGAGGGCTGCACCTGGGTCTATCTTGTCTATTACAGGACACAAAACTAAACACCATGAACATACAATAAACGCTGTTATTCTACTTGTTCACCATCTGTTGAATCCCCTGTACATCCCAATGAAATTCACCTTTTATATTCCAGAGATATGTTCTAGAGACATAATCCTGAACAACGTATAGTCCCAGACCTCTAGAAACTCAAGCTTAATTAAGGAGCCAGAGAAGAACACCACAAATTACAATACACTAGATGAATCTTTAAACAGAAGTAATGTACAAGAGGGGATCCAAATGGCTCACACCATAGAGAGGTCAAAAAATATTTCTTCACAGAAGCTGAATGACCAGGAAGCTTACTTAGGCAGATGTGATAGAGTTAATGATGTATGCTATGAGGCACGTAGACACAAGTACAGAACATTCTTTTGAGAATCTACAGGTACCTCAGGTGAATGGTAAGAAGTGTGAGCTGTATTTTGTAGATCACTGTTTCTCAAATTGTGAACTCAAAGTACTATAATTAGCTGAGATGTTTGAGATGTTTGTTAAAGGTATAGATTCCTATGTTCCATCTCACCCAACTGAAATCAGAATGATCTGCTGAGGTGCATTTTCTTTTTTTTTTTTTTTTAAAAAGCACACCAGGGCTGGGGATATAGCTCAGTGGCATAGTGCCTTGCTTGGCAAGTGTAAGGTCCTCAGTTCGATTCCCGGTACCAAAAAAAAAAAAAAAAGCACACCAGCCAGGCATGGTGGAACACACCTGTAATGTCAGCACTCAGCAGGCTAAGGCAGGACTGCTGTGAGTGCCAGGCCTGCCTGGGCTACACAGCGAGTTCAAGGTGAGCCTGAACTATGTAGCCTATGTACCCTGTCTCAAAAAAATAATAAAGCACCCCGCGGGTCTTTTGTGGATACTAAAGTCTGTGAGCCACAGCTGTAAGCACAAGTTGCGTGTTCAGATTTGAGTACTGGAAAAATTCTAAATGAATTCTAGAGGCAAGGCGACCTACTAGGAAGCTACTAGTTAGCTTTGGTAATGAACCAGGACAACAAAAGTGCCAATAAAAAAGAGGATACAAAATGAGAGGATATTTAGATGAGCCATACCCCCTGACATGAGAGGTGAAGGACTAGCCGTCATCAAGGCGGACTGGCTGCCTACAAGGCTGGCTGGTGACGGTGGGCAACACAAACATAAGCGGAAGAACCGGTCTGGGGAGGAGGGAAAAGTACTGGTGCTATTTTTGCCGTACCTTTGATGAACTACCCAGGTGACAATGCCAGGCAGGCAGACAGTGGGATTTATGAGTCTGCAGCTACAAGTGGAGCTCTGTACTAGATAGTACTACAGACCCAGGAGTCAGCAGTGTAATTGTTCCAGCTCGTGACATAAAGGAAACACTCCAGTGAGTAAGAGATTCCACAAGAGCCTGAGATAGGCTCCGAGAGGCGCAGGACCTGGCCTCGCGCGAGAGTTCACGCACCGGTGCGGGGTGCGGCGCGCACGCCAGCTGCAAGGCGGGCAGGGGCTGGGGGGCACGGCGGGCTGGCTACCTAATCACCCGCTGGATGGCGTTCCGGTAGCGCAGCCGGTCGGCCTGCACGTGCGGGTTGCACAGGGCCTTCTTCAGCTCCTTCACCACGTCCTCCGAGCCGAGGTACGGCATCTCCCCCAGCAGCGGCGGGCCGCTCACACAGGCCCCCAGCGAACTCGCCGGCTCCTCCCAGGCCGGAGGCGGGGGCCTGAGTAACGAAACGTGGGTCAGCGGCGGACCAAAGGCGAGATCTCGCCCGGCCGCGCTCCGACACCCACACTTCACCCCCGCGTCTCCCCCCAGCCCCGCAGACCGACCGGGCTCTCGGGCCGCGCACGGATGCCCCCCCCGGCCGCGCGGCGGACCGGCCGCAGACCCCTCCCGCTCCAGGGCCGGCGTCTCCGGCGCCTCGGAGCAGCTGCAGTCCCCGCGCGGCCCAATCGCGCTTTCGGCGGAAGTCCCGCCCGCTCGCCGAGACGCCTCGCGGAGCAGCTGCCGCCCTCGCTGCCACCGTCGAGCTCGGCCCAGGCCTCGACCGCAGGGCGCCCTTCCCCCAACCTCTCACCCCGGGCGCAGCCGCGCGGCGCGGGAGGAGCTGCGGCGGGCGATCGGGGATCGGCTACTCGGGCCTGTCTCCTCCCAGCAGCGCGCGCTTTGAGTGCCGGCTCGGCCCCGGCTCCCGCGCGCGGGTGGGAGTGGCGCTGTGTGAGCGCCTTCCGCGAGGTGGAGCCCGGCCACCGGACACCCCGGGCGCGGGGCTTCCCTCCCTCTTCCACTCTCTACCCTGTTCCTCCACTGAGTTGGCTTTCCTTTAGGGCCTCCAGCCTTGTTCTTGCCCCAGCATGTTTTCTGGGGCGCCGTTGCGGAATCCTCGCGCAGAAGTCCCGTCCCCGCGAAGCTCCCACTGGTGACTGCAGCCTCGCCACCATGAACGGGGTCCTGATCCCCCGTACGCCCATTGCTGTGGACTTCTGGAGCCTGCGCCGGGCTGGTGCGGCGCGGCTCTTCTTCCTGTCCCACCTGCACTCGGACCACACGGTGGGCCTGTCCAGCACTTGGGCCCGGCCCCTCTACTGCTCCCCGATCACTGCCCACCTCCTGCATCGTCACCTACAGGTACGGGCCTGGAGTTGGGCTCTGGTCCAGGCGTGAGTGGGAACTGACGATGCCTTCGTAGCCTTGGAATCACTGAGTGGATTCCGGGAGGATTGGTTTTTACAAATTCAGGAATTGTTTGCTCCCAGAGATGCATCTTTAGCTGAGAATAGAAGTGTGACTTCCAACCGACCTCCTGGAGGTATTTTAGCTCTGAGCTGGGAAGCTCATTGAGTTCAGCCAAGAGAAGTATCCCTACCCTTTCACTTAAGCTAGGCCAGTGTTTTTCACATTTGCCTTAAAGCGCCCATTTAGGCTGGGGGTGTGACTCAGTGGGAGAATGCTTGCCTAGCATGTGCAAAGCCTTCGGTTTGAACCCCAGCAATAAAAGGAATTCATCCAATGTGCAGCGTGCATTTAGATTCTCCAGCCCTTACCCACCCGCCCCACATTCAGTAAATATGGGTGGTGTGGGTCCTAGGAATCTGGCTGGAATTTTTTTCTAACCCGTCACCTCCAAGGGATTGTTATGATCAGGAGATAATTTGAGGCTATTTTCCAAATTTTAATGGAAAGCCGAATAAAGGTTGGTGTGGGGAGCGGAAAGAGAAAGGTCGACTCCCTGATCCTGCGGGGGGTGGGGGTGGGGGTCATCTGTGGCCACTGGGCTAACCAACTGCTTTCCCAGGTCCGTAAACAGTGGATCCGAGTCCTGGAAGTTGGTGAGAGCCATGTATTGCCTCTAGATGAAATTGGAAGAGAGACCATGACTGTAACCCTCATCGATGCCAATCACTGCCCCGGTTCTGTCATGTTTCTCTTTGAAGGATACTTCGGAACCATCCTCTACACAGGTGGGCCTCCCAAGACTTGCCTCCTGCTTTCCAGCTGAGATACAACTTTGAGCAGCCTTCACTCAGAATAGAAGTCCAAAGCCCTGCTGTCTCCACCCCACATAAGCACAGCGATCAACTGATGTCCCATCTTTGACAGTGCAAACCTTGTAAAGAGTATGTGGTTAATTAAAAACAGGAGCAGGATACATTTCCACAAAGAAGCTGTATGGCACAGTTCAGTACCAGGACACATAATAGTTTTTCTGCAGATCAGAAAGCAAATGCCTATCATTGTTGGAGGTGGGAGAGGCTTGTTTTTTATCTTCTTGTTTCTGACCCTCTGCCTCCCCCTGATACATTCTTCCAGGTGATTTTCGATATACACCATCCATGCTGAAGGAGCCAGCCCTGGCACTAGGGAAGCAGATCCATACTTTATACTTAGACAATACCAATTGCAACCCAGCCCTGGTTCTTCCTTCCCGACGAGAAGCTGCCCACCAGATTATCCAGCTCATTCGAAGGCACCCACAACATAACATAAAGATAGGTGAGTTGTTTCCTTTTGCTCTCACCCATAGCTAGCAAATCTAGGTTCTTTGAGGGTTCTTAGATCTTTCAATTCTTTGTGCATCTCTTACTTTCTCCACAAAACCTACCCTGACTGCCTTATTTAAAATTGCAGCCAGACCACCATCATTACTTCCACTTTTACAATTCCTGATCCCTTGTATCAGTCCAACCTTTTCATCTTTTATAGTACTTATAACCTCCCCATAGTCTTTATATTTATTTATGGGGAGCTTGAGGCAGGGTCTTTATATGTAGTTCTGGCTGGTTATGAACTCATCGTATAGCCTAAACTAGGCTCAAACTCAGAGTTCTCCTGCCTCGACCTCCTGAGTGCTGGGATTGCGGGCATGTGCCACCAGGCCCAGGAATTTATTTATTTGTTTGTTTACTTATTTTTGAGACAAGGTCTCGCTATGTAGTCCAGGCTAGCCTTAAACTCTGGATTTTCCTGCCTTAGCCCCCCAAGTGCTAGAATTACAGGCATGTGTCATGGCACCCTGCTTTATACATTTTTAATATGTTGTTTATTATTTATTGTCTGTCCGCAATGTTCCTTGGTGTGTACACATACACACAGATGTAAACTCTGTGACCTTATGCTTGGAAGGGGGAGGAAGCTTTGTGTGTCTGTGAAGCAGAGAAGTAGCCGCCAGTGTGACAGGTGCACAGGAGGCAGGGAGGCTGGAAAGGCAGGAGGCCCGGCTTTCAGATTGCTGCCATGAACTTGGTCCTGAACCCGGTGAAGACTTGTTGAAGGGTATTAAGTAGAAGAGTGACATTATTACTCCCGTCACCTCATAGTGTACTCCATAATTGACATCTTTATTGTATTTACTTTTTGTCTGTCTCCCCATGATAGAATGGAAGTTTTCTGTGACAAAGGTTTTTGTCTTATTATGGATAAATTCTTACATTAGTTAATTCCTTACCCAGAACTATTCAATAAATGGTTATAGGAATGAATGAAATGGATCAGAACAAAGATAGGAGTGTTATGCTTTAAATTACATACGTTAAGAAAATAGCCATTTCCTTTTTCTAGTGATTCCACAATGGTATAAAACATTTTGGGAAAGCAGGCATGGTGATGCAGTCTCGTGATTTAACTGTGGAAGGATGAACAGGAGGATTGCAAGTTTGCCCAGCAGTTTGCCCAGCCTGGGCAGCTTAGTAACTTAGCAAGACTCTGCCTTAAAATAAAAAGGACTGGAGATGTAGCTCAATACGAAGGCCTTGGATACAATCATCAGTACAATTTAAAAAAACTGGGGAGATTTTCTTTTGGAGTTGTCTTTTTGAGAGAGAGTTTGTGAAAATCATTGTTTTAAAAAGTATAACAGATTTAGTTCTGGGTGATTTTTTTGGTTATTTCCAAAATTATAATTCCACAAAAAGGAATCATTAGGAATACTTTAAAAAGGTATATCTCAGCTCTGAAAGGAATTTCAAAATGAGGCTAAACAAAAGCACTAAAAAAATTATAATAGAAGGGCAAGAAGGGATAGGGGAAGTAAAAAAAAAAAAGATGAAGATGCAATCTGTATATGTGCCATTTCCCCAAGATGAATGTAATTAGTATGTATCACAAACCTATCTTAATAAACTACATACCTTCTAGAATAATTATCAAATTAGGTGAGAAATACTCCTTACTCTCAGGATTGCTTAAATGCTCATGAGGAAATATCAGCCCTAATCATTTTTGAAATTTTCAGTGCAGAATTTTTTCAGAGGAACATTACTGGCTAGGAGGGCACTGTGGTAGGGCTTGATTAATTTTGCAATGTATGTAAGTCCCTACTATTACAAAGTATCCAATAGGCAGTGGGATAGAAAAATTAACAAAATATGATCTTTGAGGGTTTAGATTCTAATAAGGACCTAGACACAAGAAAACATGGAAATACATACAAGGAAATCAGCTAATTTGTGCCTAAAGAGAAAATGTGAACCATATTCCAGAATAAAAGTAGATATAAAACACAGATAGGTTCTTTTAAGGACTTCACAGTCTTGTTGAGGATATGAAATAGAGTTTAGAAAACATCTGAGAACAAGTATTTAAAAACCTGCTATCTCTTTTACCATAACTGTTACCCAAATTCACATCTCCGTTTATTTTTTTTCTGTTTTGTTTTGTTCTGTTTTTTGAGGCAGGGTCTCACAATGCAGGGTCTCACAGTGTAGTACAGGTGGGCCTTGAAATCACACACCCTCCTGCCTCAGCCTCCTGAGCACTGGGATTACAGGTGTGTATCACCATGTCCAGCTGCTCTCCATTTATTTTTCTCTGAGTCTTCCAATTGGCTTCTTTTCATCCAAGCCATTAAATAATACTGCTGCTTTCTGCCCTCCCCCCCCCGAAACCCTGCTCTGATATTATTCCTTGTTATAATGAGCTGTTTTCCTGCTTTTCCTACAGAATTAAATCCCCTTCCTCAGCAGTACACACAATGCCCTCTAATAAATGTCCTTGGTTTACCTCCCTGGTGTCACTTCTCACCAATTCTTTCTTTAGTAACACTGAAGTGGCTTCTCTTAAAATGTTTTCCAGCATAACTTTCCTGGCCAAGATTAATCCATCCTTTTAAGACTTATCTCAGCTGTCATTTTCCAGAAACTTCCCTAATTCTATCAGCTGGTAGCCACTCTTGTGCTCTTATCACACTGTGTGCATATGTTGAATATTGCCCCTAAATGCACTGTTTGTGGGTCTTCATGTACCATATCTCCCCAAAAATAAGGCCAGGTCTTACATTCATTTTTGCTCCACAAGTCACAATGGGCTTATTTTCAGGGGATGTCTTATTTTTTCATGTACAAAAGTCTACATTTATTCAGATACAGTCATGTCATCATCTAGAACATGAGCATAACTCCAAAACCTCAAATTCTGCTGTAAATCTCTTGTGACTGCATTTCCTGTAGAACTATTGGCTCCAATCTCATCTCCAGCAACAGAGTGCTCCTTAAAGAAGCGCCTCTTGTCCGTGGTAGCCTGCTCGTGGTACATAGGCCACACAGCTGTTAGTAATTTTATTCCATGAATTCTTCACCCACATCATGACCTCTTGCAAGCTGGGCTTCACAGAGCTTCCATAAATCAAGTATTAATTGAAGACTTAGGAGACAGGAGTCACAACAAAAATGATGACAGTTAAGAAGGTGGTCCAGGGCTGGGGATATAGCTCAGTGGCACAGCATCTGCCTTGCAAGTGCAAGGTCCGAGTTCAATTCCTGGTACTAAAAAAAAAAAAAAAGAGCAGTGGTCCACACAAAAGCAGTGAAAACTTTTGGGCACCAAAAGTCAGAAAACATTTGTCTATTTCACACATGTGCATTGTCTATTCACAAAAGCGCATCTGAAAAAAAAAAGTGCATCTGTTACAACACATGACGTATTGAATTATGTAGATTCATATTAGACACAACCACATCTATTCGTTATCAGTGCACATGTTATGTTACTGTTGTATATGTATTCTAACTGATCACTTGGCAATAAGTTTTGAGTTCATCTCTTTATATAGGTATTTCTCATCCAAAGTTGCCTACTTAGGTATTCCCAAATTCTTAATTATAACTTATCATTTAAGTATTAATGTCATTATTTATATTTACAGGTTAATAATATTTTATAATTCAATATGATATATTGAATTATGTCTTGCAGCGGATATACTGAATGTGTCTGTCTGGCTGATGACCTTACCTGAGGCATATTTTCAGGGCAGGGCTTGTATTACGAGTATCCTGAGAAATGATGCAAGGGCTTATTTTGGGGATAGGTCTCATTTTGGGGGAGATACAGTAGATGGCATTCCTGGAGGGCTGAGTCTTTTTTAATTGTTTATTCATCTTCATAGTGCCTAATACTTGGCAGATGCTTTCTTTTATTGAACTGAATGAGTGCGGGGATTCTGTGTGTCCCTGCCCCTTGTCCTCCATGCAGCTCAGTTCAAGTGCCGTGTCTTCCCTAGTATCCTCCCTGGCTTGACCCAAGAATTCTGATGTTTTGTTAAACATTTGGTTGTTTTCTTAGGATTCTCCAATAGCCTCATTCTCTTCTTTTACTTTCCCCAACTATTTGACATTATTCAGGGCTCTATAGCCTGGGAAAGGAGTCATTGCTGGAGCAGCTGGCCTTGGAGTTTCAGACCTGGGTGGTATTGAGTCCTCAGCGCCTGGAGTTGGTACAGCTGCTGGGCCTGGCAGATGTGTTCACAGTGGAAGAGAAGGCTGGCCGCATCCATGCTGTGGAACACATGGAGATCTGCCGTTCCGCCATGCTGCATTGGAACCGGACCCATCCTACCATTGCCATCCTTCCCACAAGCCGGAAAATCCACAGATCGCACCCTGGCATCCACATCATCCCTTACTCTGACCATTCCTCCTACTCTGAGCTGCATGCCTTTGTTGCGGCGCTGAAGCCTTGCCAGGTGGTGCCCATTGTCAGTCGACAGCCCTTGGGGAGCTACTTTCAGGACAGCCTGAGTCCCATGCTCTCCATTCCCCTGATTCCAGACTCTGTGCAGCAGTACATGGGCTCCTCTTCTGAAAAGCCAGCGTTTCTCTGCCTGTTAGGAAAGAGGTTAAGGAGACCGAGAATCCAAGGTGTTGTGTTTGAATCTCCTCAGGAAGATGCTGATAAATCTCAAGCTGACAGAGACTCAAAGAAGACCGAGAAGGAAAACCATTCTCTTTGTCCTAGGGACCTTGAAAAGCAGCCCTCCTCCCATCCGTTGAGGGTCAAGAAGCAGTTGTTTTCAGATCTCTGCAGCAAAGAATGGGATGAGGAAGTCCCTTTCTGTAAGTCCCAGAAGATGGTGACTGTGTTGACTGCCCCATTGGGATTTTCGGATGAGAAGTTTCTTTCTCCGGAAACCAGGGAGCATCTAGGCTTAGGGGCCCCCTTGATACCCAGGGGAGACAGTAGTGGCCCAGCAGCTACGGGGAACCAAAGTGCCTGGGTAGATCACGACTCTCGCCTGTTTCCCAGCGGCAGTGCTGCTCCCTTTCTCACTACTGAATCTAAAGACCTGGCGCTGAAATACCTTCTGACTCCAGTGAACTTCTTCCAGGCAAGGTTCTCGTCCAGGAGCTTTGACCAGCTAGTGGAAAAATACCATAAACCCATACTGAAGTCCAGGCAGGAGACTACAGAATGACAACCTTGTTGGTTACAGCACTGCAGTTTTGAAGATAGTGTTGTAGATAATGCTGAAGATAGGCCGATGACTAGTAGGGCCTCTCTCTCTTTCTTTTTTTCTTTCTTTCTTTTTTCTTTCTCTTTTTCTTTCTGCCCCTTCCTTTTTCTTTTTTTCTTTCTTCCTTCCTTCCTTCCTTCCTTCCTTCCTTCCTTCCTTCCTTCCTTCCTTCCTTTCTTTCTTTCTCTTTTTCTCTTTCTTTCTTTCTTCTTCTTTTTCTTTCTTTGTTCTGGGGATTGAACCAGGGGCAATATACCGAGTTACATTTCTAGTGCTTTTATTCTTTGAGACAGGGACTCACAAGATTGCCCAAGCAGGACGTCAACTTGTGATCCTCCTGCCTCACCCTCTGTTAAGTGCTGGGATGACAGGTGAGGTCCTGTTGTAGCCCTTACTTACCTTGACCAGATCCAGTGGGCTCACCCAGGAGCAAGCTTCTCAAAGCTTGTTCACTGGAGTCCTGGTGCAGTTGACTGTACCAGTGTTTAAAAAACCACTTTTATTCTAAACTCTTTATAATGTGCATTAGCACACTAAAGGTTCTTAGAAATCCTTCAGTAACACAGTCTGTTTAACTTTATTTAACCTGGTATTTCTCAAACTTTTGTGAACCTGTAATCCTTTTATGTGGCTGCAGAAAGAGTAAATAAAGAAGGACCAGATTGTTCCCATTATTACTTCGTGTGTCATGTGCCATTCCCTGTCTCCTCTTCCTAGATAAAACTCCCTAGCTACTTCTCGTTTTTAACCTTTTTTTATCCTTTTTTTTTTTTTTTTGAGAAAGGGTCTATGTAGTTCAGGCTAGACTTGAACTCACTATGTAGGCCAGGCAGGCCTCAAATTCAAGGGGACCCTCTTGCCTCAGCTTCCGAACTGTTAGGATTACAGGCCTGCACCACCATGCCTAACCTAGTTTTTAAATTATGAACTGTGGTGCTGGAGAATGAATTGGTGGCATGTTCCAGTCTTGAATATCACTGACTTGTTGTAACTCCATCCAAGTAACTTCCTGTCTCTGTCTCTGGGAAGAAACAGGAAATGAATGAAGAAGACGTAGAACAGTGGTGAAAAATTCTACCTCTGCCTCCTTCATGAGGGGATACAGTTAGTGTCACTGGGGGCCCTTCTGAAACAGAACCAGCTTGGGGGCTGGGCACCGCTCACCAAGGCAGTGCTAGGAACCCAGGTGAATATTAAGGCTTAGGGTGTGCCAAGGCCCCTGGCTGCTGAGAGGCACTATTTGGCAGAAATAAAGTTACAGAAGATCAAATGTGCTGCCAGATCCTCTTCTGATTGTTCACATAGCTGGGATATTTCTGTGTGTGCCCCCCCACTGGTTTGAGTAGGGAGCCAGAGCACACAGCCTGTTTGTTTTAGTATCCAGGGAAGAGACCAAGGAGCCAGCTGGCTGGAAGGGGTGGGGGTGTACAGTTCTGCCCTGTCCTTCTGTTCAAAGCCTGACAAGATGCCAAAGCAATAAGCAGGACAGTGTACACGCGGCCAGGAGGAAATGGGCTCTGAGAGGGCACAGGTGTGTGGAGCTGGGCATGTGGAGCAAAACCGCTTCAGTGTGGAACCTTGAGTCTTAACCACAAAGAAGGCTGTTTCTTACCCTAGGAGAAGAAGCTCCTACTTTTGGAGGGGGAAGTGAAGAATTTGAAAAGGAAAACAAGGCCTTGCTCTTGGCCAAGCTGCACACAACTCTGTTTCATCAGTGCTCTCCGCTGTGAGCCTCCAAGGGCCCCCCAGGAGCCGTAGCAGCGGAGGCAAGAGGTGCAACAGGGAACCTGGGAGTGGCCTGGGCTTGAATCCAGGCCCGCCGGGCAAGGTGGTTACATGGTGGCACCCCCGTTCCTCAACTGTAGCAGAGGGACTGAGATACCTTCCACAATTGCTGTAGGGATTAAATGGTAAGTTCTAGGTCTGCCACATGATGGGTATTTCAAATGGTTCTTGGGGCTAAGAGCATAGCTAATGGTAGAAGACGTGTAAGTTTAGCGTACATAAGGCCTTGAGTTCAATATTAAAAATGGTTCTGTTCTGGCTCGTCAAAAAAAATTATTCTATGTATAAAATGAGAAACTGGGGGCTGGGGATTTAGCTCAGCAGCAAAC